ATCCTAAACACTGGACCTTAAAAAAAAAAGGTCAAACAAATAACTTATTGAAACAGACAGAACACAAATACATTATTATTATTATTATTATTATTATTATTATTATTATTATTATTATTATTTAATGGAACAATGAAGTTTAACTCAACATATTAAATGAAAAATAAAAACTTATTAACAATAATATTCTAACAGTATACAGAAATACACAGTGGTTTACTGAAGACACAATGGTGGGATGTGGCATATACTGCGCCTGGCATCAGAGTGGCTTTACAGTTCATGTTTTGTCATTTCCAGAGGAAGTATTTGTGTGAACCAACAACTATCACAAGTTAGTTGCTGCTCAAGTGGCAAAGCACACTCAGTGGTGGAACAGTGAATTTTAGTACAAGAAGAAGTACAATTCTAAAGCACTTACTTACGTACTAGTGTTTTATTTATGCAGGTGAGAAATTAAAACACATATGTGGCATTGTGCCAGCATAACTAAAGTTGATGTCTGATGACGTCTGATGACTGATATTTGCTCTCTTTTTATTTTAAGATTCAATTAATTCATACACATAATGATAGAGATTACATTGCTCCCATTCTAACCAACTAACGCTGATTACAGATCATAAGAATATAAAATATATTCCAATAAAAAGTATGGTGAAGAGGAGAAAGCATAATCAGTGGTGGGAGAATTACTCAGCTCAACTACAGTATCGGCTATAATGATGAGGTTACAGTATTAATATTTATTATATCTGTTTATGCTAGTAATTAATCAATGTAATTTACATATATATATATATATAATAAGGTTCAAACTAAAATGGGATTTCTTTCCTTTACCTTGAACAGGAATTCCTCACTAAAAACATCAGGAAGGACACCTGGATTGGTCTGACTGACAGAGACAATGAGGGCACCTGGAAATGGACTGATGAAACTCCACTGACTCTGGCGTAAGGCATACAGTAAATGTTCTACACCTTATTTGAATATAGGCACAACTCTTGCTGTACATTACTACATTTGTTTGTGTACGACTGTATCAATAATTGTTATCAGAGTCTGACTGAACTTAATTTTCAACCTTTCACGTTAAAGTAGCTGCTCTACATGCAGAAAAAACTCACTGGGTGACTTCAGTGGGTGGTGACAAAATTGTAATTTTTTTCCGTCCATAAATTAATTGATTTTTGGCCACTTGGGGGGGAAATGTGGTTATAATTCATCTGATCATTAACCTCCTAGGTACTGGTGGACAAAGCAGCCTGACAGTGGTGGTGGAGATCCACAGTGGGGGGAAGAGGACTGCGCACATTTCATATATGGCACAAAAATGACAGAGAACTGGAATGATCAGCGGTGTGATGCCGCTCTGCAATGGATCTGTGAAAAAATTACTTAAGATTTATTGAGTTTTATAAATTCTGTTACTATGTAAGTTATGATTAATCAAAAGGTCTTTAATTGCAATTATTGTATGCGTAAATACAAAGAGAGAGAGAATGTACATCAACATTGACTATTATGGAACGGAGACCAGGAATTTAGATCTCACTAGGATTTTTTTGAAAAAAAGTTACTTCTTTTAAACATGGCTGCCTAATGTTACCACAAATGTTGTAGCTAACGTTATACCGAACACCCCTGAATGTTCGACCCTGAATGCACTGATTATGATAATAAAACAAACTCAATGCTTTCCTCCACAGTTTGTTGTTGAATAGAGGAAGACATTTACTCTCACATTCACTGCTTTGATCAATTCACCTAAAAAGTATGAAATCAAAGTAATTACTATGACATTACACAGTCCACTCCAGAAAACCTAATGACAAATAACAATTTATACAGAAGATTTCTGTAATTGATCATTTAACAAAGCATTACATTGTTGTCAAACTGTTCCTGTTTTAAGTGTTGCAATAGACGATAGTCATAAAGTGTTTTTTTACTTGTTACTTCTGCAAAAGAAAAATAAATCGCTCTGTACGATTCCTTAAAATGAGTCTGCGTCCAAAAATGAGTAAAAAAAAACCCAACTTGGTGGGAAAACAAGAAGAAGAAAAAAACAAAGAAAGAATCTCACCATGCCTGCACAAAGATCTAAATCGAAACCCATCATCAACAACATCGTTGACATCAACATTGTTCCTGACACGAGCAAAGAAGGTCCAAAAGGTCCTCTCATCCAATGGTTCCTCCGACTTAGACATGGACAGCGACAGGTCTGGGGCTGGGGAGCCTCAATCAATGCTCCTTCTCACCTTAGCCACCCTCCCCGATCCTGGCACCACCCTTTTCTCCCGCTTACTCTCTAGTAGACACAGAAAAGCCGGCTGACGAAATCGGCGGGTGGGTGCTGTCGGCTTTCTTCAATGGTGTAAAATCTGCCGTACTACACTTGCTCAACATCACTCTTCACAAGTTTCGAGAGTTGGAAAGGTGAATAGGTTTTCTGAATATTTAAATGGGTAATTATTGGAGAAAACTTGTAACTTATGTAGAGGAGCAGATGATCATCAGCCATCATGGATTTTAATCATTTATGTATGTTAACTATTTATGTAGAATGCATGTTGTGTTTTGGAGACGTGGTGAGCCTATTTTTACTAATCAGCCACCTATAATAATCCTATTTCCGAGGATGGGCATGGCGGCCGAAAGCAGACATAAAATAAAACCTCCTGACTTTTTCATCAGGGTTTGACGTTTATGTTTTATGTCTTTTTATCATCCAGTAGTTTGATAATTTTCCACCATCTTTTTAGTTTTTTGTAGTTTATGTGTAGTTTTTTTTTTTTACTTACCTGATGCTTTGCTGCTAGTGCTGACAGGTTCAGCTCCAAACGGTACACGCAAAGACAGCATGTTTCTCGACGAATGAGTGGTAAGGCCTCTTTCTCTGTGATGTTGTCTATCAATCCGTCGGATGCAGACGGATTTTCTACCCTGTTTTACCCTGTTTCTACGCTTTGCACCATCTACAAAATCTATATGTACAACATTTTGTAAACAAAAATGCAAGCAAGTTAATTCTCATCTGGTTACTGAAAAAAAAGTCAAGAAAGAAAAAAGAGACGATAGTAGATCCACCGTGATCTGATTGCGTGAGGTGGATGTCTTCAAACTCATAAGTCACAAATACAAATACATTTGATGTAAAAAATAAAATAAAAAATAAAAAATCCCCCAAATACAGAATACAGAAAACATTGTTTTAATAACAAATACTTGTTATACTAACATACTAGTGTCCCTCACTCAAGTGTCTTCTTCACATATGACTTGTTAACTTAAGGGCAAGTTTCTAAATGTGTCCCTGTAACCTATTAGCGGTAGTTAAAAGCTGTATTGTTACTTGTAGCAGAAAGGTTTATTCAAAACATTAGTAGATGACTAAGCAAGAGCGCAGCAATTAACTAATATCTTTCAGATCATCAGAAGTTACATGTAGAAAAGACAATTGTTGCAAAAAATCACTTACTGGGATACAAGATTTCTTCAGAAGGAGGAAGAGAAGAAGGTGTGTGAACATAACTTTAGTTTACCTACAATAGCTACAGGCTATGGCAGAGCCTCCAAGAGCCTATTTGTTGTTGTAACCCTAACTAAATTACTTGGAGGGAGACCAGAACATGATTCACTTGAGAGGGCTGAGAGTATTGAAATTGCAGACAGTTTCTTTAAGTCATTCATTGTTTTTTGGCTCTTCCTTTAGATGCTTTGGGAGTTTACCACACAACAGGACGGCCTTCAATAGTCACTACAGTGGAATAATTGTAAAGTAACTGTTGGTTTTTTTTTTCTTCCTGTGATTTACTTTATTTTTTTAACAACTTGCATTAAGATGATAAATCGTATGTAAAAATATGTGTTTTCATGCAGCCATTATTCGTCCCGCAGCAGTAACTACAGTGGCAATGACACAATATTGCGGAGCAAAAAAACTCAAACAGAACTGAAGAAATATCTTAATATAATACGAAGACTGAACATTTACATGGCATTGAGCTCTCTTCATTCTAAAATGCAAGTCCAAGTAAGTATATAAATTACTTAAAAAATCATCAAAATAGGCCTACTAGGAGTTGAAATATGGCTGAAATATTGTACATTTGGGCAGTTATGCTATTTAATGCCAATAATGCTAATTATGCTAATTGCC